AACATCAGTGAATAGAAATATAGAGCTTAAAATAAAATATATCCAGGAGTGATGAGCCACACACTTATTCATTCATCAGTATGTACTGGGTACCTGCAATTAGCTGGCCCTGTGCTATGTGCTGAAGAAACAGACACGAATTGAACACAGTTCCTGCACCCAAGAAGCTCACTTATTATAATCACTGTCAAATGGTAAACAAAGTGATCTAGAACAAAAGATGGACAGACCTAGCTTTGCATGGCAGGAGCAAGCTCTGTGGCAGCGTGGGAGGGGCCTGGAGGAACATGAGTTTGGCCATGAATGTGGCATTGGCTGAGAACAGTCCATGACATACATACAACTGGTATCAAAGTCCCCTTCTGCTTCAGCGGGGCAGCCAAGATAATTCGTGATCCGATTTGGGACTGGAGCTATTTACCTTCCATAGCACCACAGAGACTAGAAGTTGAGCTGAGCAGTTTTCTAACTGCATGTGAGTGCAGGCAGGGAGAAAACTGTGGGTAATTAAGTCTTTTCTCCAGGCTAAATAGTCTTTAGACTTGAGACTTATCTACTAAGGCCCCAAAATGTGAAGTGAAACCTCCCTGGAGTGATGTATGTGTGCCCCAAGGCCAAACATCTCCAGGCAAGTTACTAAAAATTCATTAGTGAGAAACAAGCAGGACCCTGTTGTTCCCTAGAATGAGGTCAAAAGAGAAAGCTTTGGTTCTCTGCAACCCAATCTTGCAGCTAGGTAGCAGGGCAGTCTTCATGCCCAGGTGCTGCCACTTAAACTTCTTAAGTTGATTTTGAGCTAATCACCACTTAATTTGATCCATAAAGACCATGATGCAATTTCAAGACCTCAGATCTCCCTTTATGGTACTCTGGTCAGACCCACTGAGATGGCCCCTCCCAATAACCTTTCATGAAAGGTATATGGAATTTTCCACACTCCCTAGAGGAGCCAGCAGCTCTTTCCTGCTGACACCAAAATACAACACTTCTGTGACCAAGAGTGAGTGCAAAAAATAGAAAATCTAAATACAAAAGAATTAAAAGCAGGATCTCAAAAGAGGTATTTGCATACCCATGTTTACTGCAGCACTAGTCATAGTAGCCAAGAGCTGAAAGCAGCCCAAAGGCCCATCAATGGACACATGGGAGATATGGCAGACATATAGAGGGATATTATTCAGCCTTACAAAAGATGGAAATCCTGTGACATGCCATAACATGGATGAATCCTGATGTTAAGCAAAAGGAGTCCATCATAAGAGAACAAATACTGCATGATTCCACTCATATAAGGGTCCAAAATAGGAACACAGAAACAGAAAGTAGAAAGGTATTTACCATGGGCATGGGTGGAGTGGGGAGGGAGAGGGGTATAGAGTTTTAGTTTTGAAAGATGAAAAATTCTAGAGATTGGTTGTACAATGATGTAAATATTACACTGTGAACCTAAAAATGGTTATGATGGACTTGGCACCCATACCACAATGGTTATGGTGCCAGCCACCTACACTGAGGGTGGCGGGTTTGAACCCAGCCTGTGCCAGCTAAAGAACTGCAACAAAAAAATAGCCAGGTGTTGTGGCGGGTGCCTGTAGCACTTGGGAGGCTAAGGCAAGAGAATCGCTTAAGCCCAAGAGTTTGAGGTTGCTGTGAACTGTGATGCCACAGCACTCTTCCCAGGTGATATAGTGAGACTGTCTCAAAAAAAAAAAAAAAATAGTTATGATGGTCAATGTAATGGTGTGTGGTTTTTAGCACAATAAAAAAAATATGGACAGATGCGGCACGGAAGAAAAAAGCCTGGAAGGGGAAGGAAGACAAGGAGGCCAGGGAGCATTCAGTGGCTGATCCTCAGCCCCCTCTTGGTGACATCTGATGCCCTCCCCATTTTTTTCCTTCCCTCCTGGATGCCCCAGGCTACCCCTGAGCTCTCTGCACCATCCTATGGCTCCTACTTCCTTGTATGCCAGTTTCCGTAGTGGCTTCTCTTCCTCCTGTGGCCTCTGGGTGGGCCTCCTTAGGCCACATTTGTCTCTGCTCTGCCCTCTCCCACTTTCCTGCACCCCGTCCTTGGAGAACACCTGCCTTCTTGGGCCTCCCATTCTCTATCCAGATTCACCTTTCTCTTCCCAGCCCATAGAAACCACAGGGCTTGGAAAGCCTGGACAGGACACACCTTCATAAACCTGCTTTTTGATTCTAGTCCAACTCTGGTGTCACTGTATCCTCTTCTTTGCCACTAGGCTCCCCAGCAAATGCCTCAGTGCACTCTGGAGTCCTGCTCCAGTAACTCCAAACCCTTGATGTTCTGCCCTTGGTTCCTGGGCTCCCTGCAATGCCATGTGTGTGTCTTGCTGGTTTCCTTACTGTTTCATCATTGGCTTCAGACAGGTACTAAACCCTCCTACTCCCAGTAATGCGGGGGAGTTCTCAGCCTTCGGAGAGGCCAACGTGAGGCTTCATTTCAGCAGTGGTGGGGCCACAGAGACGGTCATCCTCACTATCTTAAAACCTGTCTGCCCCAGCACACCCCCAGCACCCTGCCCCACCCATATCTGCGAGTGACCCAGCCCTGCCTGGCACATGGTGCCTCACTTACGGAGTGGCCTCGCATCTGGGTGGCAGCCTTCTGGAAATGCGGCATCATCCTCTTGCACATGCTGCACCCTGGTCACAGGCAGGAGGGAAACCACATCTATTACAAGATGGCTGGGCCCACACTCTGCTCAGCTATTCTCTACCCAACAAACACTGTCTAGCCTTGAGAAGCTCAGGACTGTCCCCAGGAACCCAAAAGGAATAGGAGGCAGAGGCCCTGGCCTTCAAAGAGTTTGCAGTCTCAACGGCACAAAACCGGGAAAGCGCAGCAGCCACTCACTCCATAAATGTTAGAGAAGAGCAGAGCTTGGAATAATTCAGGGCTGACGCATGAGTTCAACAGGAATTCAGAGGACCAGGACAGGGTCAGGACCACAAGCCCCTATGTACACAGCTAAAGCCACCCGTCACTGCCTAGGCAGGACCAGCAAACGAGCCAGGGTCAAATGCCACCAGAAGAAAAATTTGTGACCACAAATACCATGACTTGTGGGATTTCCGTGCCTCCTTTTTTTCCATTAATAAGGATAATTAAGTAATATCTATAGATGGGCCCAGCATGGGGAGAACACTAGGCCAGGACTCAGAATGCAGACTCTGATGATCCCTCTACTTGTTAATGGTCTCGGACAAGCCACCTCCTCTCTTTGGAATGTTTCTTCTTCCAGTAAATGAGGGGAATCGGACCAGACAACCTGAGGCCCCTTCCAGCTCTGAGAGCAGAGGCTTCTTGTGGCTCAGCTTCTCCAGGCTTTGTGGTCCACCATGGTCACACTCCTCTCCTGGGGTGGTAGAAATCCCCAGCCTTAGAGATTCGGGACCAGGACAGCCTGTCCCTAAACATCCACTTCTACTTCAGAGTGACCTTAATTTTAAACTTCTTCTCATAAACCAGAGCAGGCCACATTTGAGCACTGACCCTAGAGGACAGGAGAAGCAGTTTGCTCAGACATGCCAGGCTGTCACCCTTTCAGACAGCAGTTCTGCTGCAAACAGACTTTGAGATGCATCTCAAGGCCACAGAACCAAAGCTGCCAGGAACCATGTGTCAGGCACAGTGGGGACAGGGGCCATTGGCAGAAGGCTGAGCAGCTCTAATCTGTGTTTAGCCAGTATCTTGGCAAGCTGTGAGCAGAGTGAGACAGATCAGAGGGCACTTGGGCCCCTGGAGGAGACACACTGGATGACTGGGAGGAGGCCCCTACACTCCCCAGCTGCAAGCCTCCTGGACAAGATACAGAGGCAGGGCACTTGACATGGGGCTCAAATGCCCTGCAGCCACCTCTCTGACATTCTGACAGGCCAATGGCTTCACACACACATACCCCAGCATATTAAACCTGCGCTTAGGTTCCTGCCATTAGCCTGGGTAGAAGAGAAGGAGCTGCTGCAATGTCAGCCTAGTACAAGCCCACAGTATTTGCCCTCAAAAGAGATGCCTCTCTTTGGGACCTGCCACCACAGTTTGAACATCACATGTGGCAAGAAGGAAGGAACGTCACACTTATCAGGGGACACTGTTTCACTGCAGGGATTCACAGAGAAGGGCATGGAAACAGGGACAATACTCCACTAAGAACACTGGAGTATGTGATGTGGTAGGAACAACAGGGGGCTGCACAGTGATGGGGACACAGAGGAAGGAGCTCAGCTCCAGGAAGAATGAGAGCCCACCTACATCTCCCCTCGCCCTTTGCTTATTCTGTGACTCTGGACTGGTGATTTGGGCTCTCTGAGTCTCAGCATCCTTGTCTGCAGAGACAGCACTTAGCCCCCAGATGAAGCCAATGCGGGGGTGGGGGGTGGGTGGGGCAGGCAGGGCCTAGCACTCAGCAGGGGACACTCAGTGTCTACAGAGCCTTCCCCTTCTGGTCTGTGGTGGGGAAAATACTGCCATAGAGGAAAGAGGCTTTCATTCTACTCCCCAGGAGGGAAAATAAGGGGAGACACCTGCAGCCTCTTATCCACTCTTGGCTCAGTGACTTGAGTTTGACACCTGCTGGGCCACATTCATCGATCAAGAACATAATTTACTGCCTGTCTCCACAGTGTGGCCTCTCTCCCAGGCTGCCTGTCTGCAGCCGGCAGCAACATAACCTCCCCTCCCTCCCAAACAGGTGATAAGTCAGCAGCAGGGCCGGTGGAGAAGTTATTGGGGGGAAGAGGTGATGGAGGAGTAATAGGAAGCTATAGACCAAGCCAGTTTCCAATTTAACTTTACCAAAAATAGAGCTGGGCCTGTGATTCGTATCTGAGCTTATCTTCCAACTGATTCAACTGGGATTCTGGGGAAGAGGTAAGACTAATTATTGTTCTCATACCTGAAAAGTCAGAGCAGCCAGCCCTTTTATTTTCTCATTAATTCAGTGAACAAACATTTATCGAATAAGCAGTAGGGCCTGGGGAGCCAGATTCCTTGTCACAACCAAAGGGTCCCACTGCCTTTGGGTCTATTCATGGCACATGTGACTAAAGGATCACAGAGTCCTAACAGACTTCCCAGTTAGGAAACAGCTATCCCAGGAAAAGGCTGCATTATGATGCTATGAAGGCTTGATTAGGCTAGTACCATAAATGCATGAGTTTGTTTCATTTGAAAACACATACATACCAAAAAAGGATCCTGGGGTTCCTCAGGACCTAGGAGGCCATCCAATCAGACTCTCCAGTAAAAGTCTGCCTCAACCTCTGAGTTTTCTCCTCCCTTCCCCGTCACTAATATGCTCGGTGGCACCTGTGAGGCACTAACCTCCCCTGCCCCAGCTTTACATTATATAAAGATTATAACATGCTCATGTCTCTGCTGTGGTGAGCAGGAAGGGCACACTGCCAGATGGCCTGGTGTGTGGGGGTAAGAAAGGGCACAAGCACTCAGGTGCAAACTGCTGGTGATCTGCTCTTTTAAATGATTAATGTCATCCCACTGAGACCTGCATGGCTATGCTGTGATTCTGCCTCATGACGCGTACTGCATACTGACATATGATCCATTTTACAGCTTCATTTAACCAACGCCTTGAGTCCCAAAGGGTTCTGAAGTAAACCAAATGAAGCCCCGATCCTCAAGGGGCTGTGTGGGCAGGATAATTCCTGAAGAAATTCACAGTAGAGCAGTTAATAAGACCCCTCTGAGAAGAAACAAAACCCAGCAAAACCAACTAAGGAGCATTAAAGAAGAGTATGAGCCAGGATTCAAGTGCAGACCACTCTGAGCGGATCCAGACCCACAGCAGATGAGCCTCCAGGCCTCTTCATGTAGACAGGCACACCCCTGGGGCCAGCAAGGGGTCTTGGGGGGAGACTGGGGCTGTAGGACACCCAGCAATCAAAACAGGGCTGGGGAGAGGCCGTTGTCATGGTGAATAAGCTATAGGCTCCAGTCAGGCAGAAGCACCACAGCATCACAGAGGAGGGCACAGATGGAAGGGGCCTTTGATTAAAGAACTTCTCAGGATGGGGATTCGAGACCCTGCAGCCACAGCCTAGGACACCCACTTGGCACTCACCCCCAGCCCCTCTCTCTAGCTTCATGCAGACCGTGGCTTCTGAAGGCCACATGCAATTCACAGAGGCACAGCTCCAACAGCCCTGACAGGCTCAAATCCAGGGTCTTTAATCTGTAAGTTGGGGCCCCTTAGACTGCAGGGGTGGCCCAGACAGTGAATATCTGAAGCTTCATGGGGCATACCATCTCTGTCACAACCACACAGCCCTGCTGCCACAATGCATAAACACATGGGCATGACCGTGTCCCAATAAATCTTTGTTTACAAAAAAAAAAAGAAGAAAAGAAAGTAGCCAGCCTGTGGTCCATAGTTCACTGACCCTTTGTTAGAGGGTTATGAAGCAGCAGGAATAACCAATAATGTTTAAATAAAGAAGAACAGAAAATAATGGGTGCTACATCTAGTAAAGAGTAGATGGCAAGTAGTAAGGACATGGTTTTGTGAGACTTTTTCTCAGCTTATTTCTATCATTTATATATACTTCTAATCCTAGGTTGCAATATAAAATATTTTTAGTTCTGTGACATACAGTCATGAAGTTTGGAAGCTGCTGCTCCAATTCAGCCCTTTCCCTTACAGATGTGGAAACTGAGACCCAGAGAGCAGAAGGGCTTGGCCAGCTCACCTGGCGTGGGGTAGCACAGGAGGGACTAGAGCCCAGGTCTTCTGGCTGTAGTCTCAGTGGCCCTTCAGCCCTTCCTCAGTCTCTGGCTTCACGCAGGGACTGAGCCCATGTACTGGGGATCTGTTTCTCTCTGTTCCCCCTGCCCCTCCGAGGTGGCACCAGCAGGGGGATACAGGAGTCAGGACTGGCTGAGCTGCTGTCCCCAGAGGCAGGGCCAGGCTCTGGATGGCAAGCAGTGGCCAGGGGGGTGTGGAGTAGTAGCACTGCAGAGGGAACCCCCAGCAGTGAGACACGGAGCCAGCGGGCAGGAAAAGGGGCAGAAGGCTGAGAGAAGTGGGTGGGGCTAACTAGACAAGAGAGCCTCATCACTGGTCACTGTGGGCGGGCGAGGCTCTGGGCAAAAGGATGCTGCAGAAGGTGGAGAAAGCCAATGGGAGCGCAGGTGGGAAGGAGCAGAAGGAAAGGCAAAGATGAAGCAAAAGAGGCACAGACAGAGACACCCTGAGCGACTTGAGTTGGCGTTAAGTGCAGATGTGAGGCTAGTTCCTCCCTCACGACCCCAGCCACCTACCACCCACAAGGAGACTAGACAACTAACTCTGGCCCAAAGGGGAGAGTTTACTCACAGGGGGCATAAAACATCATCAGGACCGGCTTCTCTTCCTTCTTCAGGAGACGCCTAAAGTCCTGAGGCACAAAAAGAGAACATATCAGCAGGTCACACAACACAGCCCCAGGACAGACCTCCGCCCGCCCTGTTACCCACAGCCGCAGGGGGGCAGTGGTGAGCACTTTAGAAATGATATGTCTGTCTTAGGGATGGGGCAGTCACGGCTGGAAAACTCTCAGGGATGATGTCTTCTGAACCACCCTCCAACGTTACAAGTGGGAAAACTGAGCCCCTAGGGGCACAAATGGCTTTGCCAAGGCCACCTGGTGAGAGGAAGTCATCAGGACAAGGCTACTGGCTTCACTTTCACCTCCACCTCAACAGTTAAAAGATGGCAAAGACCTATTTCTGCCCCATGAAGCTGTCAAACAGGCCGCCCCTTCATGTGATGTATGGAGTGATTTTGCTGTGGTGAGAGTGGTTGTTTTCACACATGCCCAAGTTGACCAGATGGGGATCTGCTCGTTGTGGGAAAGGGGGGGTACCCATGCAGGCTAATCTCTAGCTAATCTCTTTCCAGCTCCAGCCCTACTCCAATCATCTGTCCCCAGGAGTCCATCATCTGTCCCCAGGAGTCCACTGAGCAGAAAGGCATAAGGCCCACCCTCCACAAGGCTACAAGCTAAAGGGATCATTCGTATTTGTAAGACCCTTAGAACAGTGGCTGGCACATTATTAAACAATATATAAAGACTTGCTACGTAAATACAGTAAAGGTAAAAAGACAAATGGTCACACTGTGCTAATGTAAAGAGTTAAGTGTAAGCGCATAGGGAGCCAAGGATCGATGGGAAAAAGCCAACCAGGACTGTGATGAAGCACCATGATAAAGCATACTTTGAGTAAAATGTGCTGCTCTAACCGGTTTTCAAAGAAGAAAATTAGACGGTTTTCTCTTTTGAATAATAAGGAAAATAAGAAAATTTCGAAATGCAGCTTTCTGGCAGCAAGAAGTCATTAAGTAAATAAACAATGATGGCTCAACCTGCACAATGCAATACCACTGCACTATTAACAATGACGGGGAAGAATATTTAATGTCACAATAAGATGTGAACGTCAGAGTAAGTGGAGTTGGCAAGTTACAAAACAGCATATAAAATGTAACAACATCCTTGTGTGTAAAAATATTTGTTTGCCTTAGCTTAAAAGCCTGGAAGACTACAAAAATATCTGAAGTGGGTGTCTCTCAGGGGAAAGTTATGTTTGCTTTTTGCCTTTATGCTTAAGCTGTGTTTTCTACATTTTCAACAATGAATGTGTATTGTTTACAATTTTTCAGTTAGATAAAAAAGACTGAAATTTTTTTTGTGGCTACCTAAAATATTTTAAAATAAATTCTGGAAAAAGTTTACTCTTATTTACATAATTGAAAGGTTAAGGTACTTGTTTTAAGGCAGAATTAGTAACCAAGATATTCGACCCTAACTAGGGGTGGAGGATGCAAACACGTTCTTTCTTTCTTTCTTTTTTTTTTGCAAACACTTTTACCCTTGGAGATAAAACCTGGTCACCAAAGATGGAAGAAGAAAAGGTTTTATAGAGCCCATAGCAAATTGGTTTCATATCCTGAGTAGTAACAGATACTTCATTCAAAGATGCTTAATTACCTTCACAAATACGGAACTCTGAGCCCATACACTGGATGAGGAACTCAAAGTTAAATTTGGAGACTTAGTTATTTTACTCTATGTGGGGATTCTATGAGCAGAAAAGCAGCCACAACTCATATTTCCACATGAGAGGAAAAAGCACAGAGAATAAGGGACTACACACAGGTGTGGAGAAAGTGTTGCTGCTTAACATTCCTGCAGGTGCAGAAGAATGATCTCGGAAAGTTCAGGACATGACATTTGGTGGAAGGAGGCACCAGGCCATCACTCTTCAGAGAAGCTACAAACATTTATTATGACAGGAGCAGTATGCAATTTAGGCTGTCTGTGGCTCCACAGCTGTGGGCTCATGTGCCATCCTTTCCTGACGCTTGCCCCTCTTCCCTTGGCCCCACGTGCTTTTTAAAAAGGTTTTAGCTTGGAGCTGACAATACTGGCACTTCCTATTCCAGAGAATGCTGACGCCCAGCCCTTACTTTGAATCACTACTGACCCACGTGGTTGGCCCACAATGATCACATATGATCCTCCTCCAGAAAGTAAAAAAAGCATCATTTCCTTCTGGGGTAACAAGCATTAAGAGTAGAGTCAATAATTTTAAGTGAAAAGGGAGAGGGGGTGGAGGAAGATAAAAGCTGTTTTATTTTACCAAGTTAAGAATGAGCATTTTCCCTCCATCTACAAAAAAGCACTGCTGGCCTCACAGACATGTGGAATGTCACAGAAAAGTTCTTGCCTGTCCTCTGGGAAGGGACAACTGAGCAAATAAGGCGCCACACAGGTGCACATGGATACAGATGCACATTCAGGTCAGGTGCGCAGGCCGCTGAAGGAGGGGCAGGGATGTGTCACAGCTTTTGTTAAATACTCAAGAGCAAATGATGACTATAAACCAGACTCTCCCACCCACCACCCTGGCCAAATCTGGAAATTGATACTTAACATGGTAAATTTGTTCAAAGTTACACAACGACTCAGAATTGTCGAGACCTGACCCAGTTCTCTGGAAATCCAACCCAAATCTCTCAGATTATTCTTACAAACAAACAACAACAACAACAAAAATGCAAAGTCAATGCCAGCAACGTCAGCATTACATAATATGGAGAAGACATTTAAATCTATATTCAAGCAAAGAAAACCAAAGATGTTAAAATAATTAAACAAGGAAAATGAAGATGGGAGCAAGTTCTCAGTTAGCCTGGGCTACATTAAGGAGCTGGAGAGGGGAGTGAAGCATCAGGGAGGATGCTGGCCGAGCATCCCTGGAGGTAAGCACAGAGGTTCTGGGACTCTCTCCTTTCTCAGTCCCTTGGGCTCCTCTCTGTGGGAGGCCCTGGTACCAGGAAGGCCTCTGGGACCCATCAGAACTGATGGGGAATAAATTACCTTTTCACTGTCAATGTGGACAACATCTTTGGCTCCAGGATCTTCCTCCCACAGCGGGGGCCCTTTTGGATCCTTCAAAAAGGCCACTATGGACTGAGGAAAAAAAGAGAGAAGAGAAAATGCATTTTAGCAGGAGAAAGGGGCGGGGGGAATCAGGAGCCTGCCCAGTTTCCCTGCTTGGAGACCCGAGTACACCAAGTGCTGGGCACAGGGCTGCATGTGGCATGGGCCCTGTAAGTGTGCTATTTCCACTGTGCACTAACATCACCACTAGGTGCTCCCCAAAATCAACCTCTACCCTGCTCACTGGGCTTTTTCAATCATAGGATGTCTGCTCACTCTGAGTGTCTGGTCCACACCTACTGTGCATCTTCATGGACATAAAGGGGAAACCTGAGACATGAGTGGGCTGAGTCTAACCAGAAAGAGACACACTAGTGCTTCTGCCACATCTTTCCTCCAAGAAGTCTTTCAGACTAATTGACAAAGGTCTCCGGTCTCCTCCTGAGGGGATATTTCCACATTCCTGCAGCCACTAAAACTGTCAATCCCATAAGCATATAATCACACCACTTATTACCTGCTTGGTACTTCACCCTCTAAATTGGTTTTGGAGTGAGTTAAATCCCGCTTATCCTCCACTGTGTGTTTATTGGTGAGGCCCAGGCTGGCAGCCCCAGGCCAGGGTGCTCACCAGCTGGCCTGGCACCTGGTTGTTGTACTTCTCCTCCCGAAGGCCCCTTGCTAGGCTGCCCAGTGAAGATCTGACAACAACCTTCAAGATAAAGGGTCTCACTGGCCTTTGGCAGGTGGACATCTGGCTCTCTACTCCTTTGGGAGAGGGCACAGAAGAAGGGGTACCCTTGCTCCTCTCCCCACCTGCTACACTTCACTGGTCCAGGACAGAAGCAGTATTCCCTTTCCCCTTAGTTACTTGGGGAGATGGCACTCAATATCCCTGAGAGCCAGGAACAGGAACCAGAAACCAGCCAGGCCCCCATCCTTCCCACTCTAGAAGGGAGCAGCTTGCCTGTGTCAAGAGACGAACCCCTTTGTGTCTCCCAATTTCAAGCAAGATTCCATTACTTCTGTCAGCTCTAACCAAGCTCCAGCGATCCAGCGAGCAGAGGCAGTACTGTGTGTAGTACACTTTTTCAGTCATAGGACACCTTGCTCACTCCTGGCCCCACACGCATGCACACACACATCTGTAGGGAGGGCGGCCCAAGGTGAGGAGGGGAAATGCCCTTTTAGTGAAATTGTGCATTCAGCCCTTCTGCTGGTTCCACACAGAGAGGACCTGAGTGACTTATTATTTCTGGAATCTCCTATTCAGAAAGAACTATTATGGGAGAATGGGAGATCGCCAAGATTTTATAGGAACACATTCCTGCATATAGTGCTTCCTGTCTGTCCAAGTGGAACTGTGAAATGCCTACTGGCAAAAGAACAGCCATCTCTGCCACGGCCAAAGGCAGGTGCACCCCTTCTCTGCCCCTTGTCAAAGCTTCACTGTGACAACAAAAGCAAAATGGAACAGGCAGGGCCTTCCCTAAACCCACACTCACCCACAGTTACAGAGGCCCCTGCCCACCTGAGAAAGATGCTGGCAGGCACCCCACCCCGCTGCCTGGGCTCCAGAAATACCCAGTGCTGAGGTTATCAGCGGGGGAGGGGGGGGGGTGTTCAGGCATCTGGGAAACCCCAGGCTCACATCAAAACATTGACTTTATTGTATGCAAATGCACTGCTCGGGGCAGAAGGTCCACATTCAATAGAGTCTCAGTGGGAAAAGAACCCCAAAGTAGGTCAGGAACTACTACTCTGGGGGTCCCTGCCATCACACTAGGCTTGAGTTGAGCTCAGAGTTAGCACAGTCCTAATCATCCCTTCAGCAACAAGAAACAAAGAAGGATATGGATTTTAAAAGGAAAGAAAAGACCTCTTTAAAATAACAATTGACATTTATGCTTGCAGCCTTCTGTTTTTCAGATGGGGATTATAATAATTTAACTGAAGTTCCATAAGTTCTCTCCAAGTTGGTCTAACTCAACAAGACCTTGGGTGGAAAGGGCTGAGGAAGCAGTGGGGAGCCCGCCCTCATCAGTCCTACTCTGCGTGCTCTGAACCCCTGGAAACTGCCTGACATCACACCTGTCCTTCACAATGTCCTCACAGCCCCCACACCTGGGAGAAGGTCAGTAGAGGGGCACCTAAATCTAGGTTCACAAGTGACTCCAGCCTTCCCACTGGCATAGTAAGGGGGACACATAGGGGGACACATCTGGTAAGCAAAAGGCTGCTTATGCAGAAGTTCCTCCCTTGCAGTCCCCTGATCGTTGTCCATGGGGAAATGTAGTAAGCTCTCACTCATCTAGTCTCGACCCTCTCCAGGGGCCATGCAGTCACTGTGACCACGCCCCTGCCCAACCCTGCAGGATGACAGCAATACCAGTCAGAGCACGCAAGGCACCTGCAGACGGTGTGCCCACCTGCCAGGGGCTCATCCATCTCTCTAGAGACAGGTCCCAGGAGAAAAGCTAATGGAAAGTCAATCTGTGACTGAGGCAGGCTCTGCTCTCAGCTGCTCACGCTGAGAAGGCAGAAGCTGTCAGGCAGTCGAGGAGATACCAAGCCACCTTTCCCCTGCCCTAGAGCACTCCAGGGATTCTACCCCAGTCCCTCTTGGCCCTATGGGCTTTGAGAACCCTGGGACTAAGGATGCCCTCTGTGTGTCTGAAGCCGAAGACTCTGACATGACAATACTCAGCCCACTCCCAAGGAAGAGGAAAGACAGCCAGTCCCACCCACCTGCCCCTGGAAAAAGTAGGACAAAGGTCAGGACTCCATTGTTCCCACCCAGACTTGCAACAGCAAGCAGACCACCAGGCTCCTTGCTCCTCTCCTGCTACTTCAGTTCCAAGCAGCCGCCGCTGCCTGCTCTGGTATCCCAGGACAGATTCCTCAGAGGGCCTGGCTACACAGATGACCACAGTCTCCAAAAAGAAACCAAAGACCCAGCCCCACTCCCCTTCATTGCATAAGTACTTCCCCCATCCCACCCAGCTAAATCTTGCTCCTGGGGAGCATGTGTTCTCTCTGATGACTTCAGTTGACGTCTTAACACAGAATAAGAAGGGCCAAACAACTCTCAAGAATTTTCAAAGTGTCTAGGTGGGTGTTAAGATGATGAGTCATCAGGCTGAGTCCCTACCTAAGGTAAAAGCTTTAGCAACTTAAAAAAGAATGAGTGTTAGTGAATACATGAGAGATGACCTGAGGGATGGCAGAGAGAGGTGGACAGAGAGAGGGAGGGGGCACTGACAGCTGTACAGACCGATGGAAAGACAAAAAAAGAATGGAAGGAGATACAGACAGAGAAGGAGGGACAGATGAAGAGATAAAAGCAGCACAAGCTCAAACCCAGTATGAAAAACAGGAGAGTCAGAGACAAGTGAGATCAGAATGTCAGGACCAAAGCATATGGTCTCAGCATGGCAGGGGATGTCTCCTGGGCAGACATTGAAGAAGACTGGCTGGGGAAGAGGATGCTGATGACAAAAAAGGAGAGTGGAAGTGCAGCAGAAGGGCCAGGGCTGGGGCAGCTGCTTTGCACTAATGAGGTAGCACCAAGAGATTACAGGGGCTTGTGCAGAATGTCACTTGAGCTTTTCTGACAGCTTCTAAGTTGGGCTGCTGGCAGGGAATACCTCAGTGACATGCACATCTCATATGGAACAAGCTGTACAGCCCAAAGGTGCCAATGTGCCCCTGTCCTATACCATGTGCTAACCTGGGCACTGTAAGCCCCCTCCAACCTGGGGGTGGCCACTGTGGATGCCACCACAGAGATGAGAAGAGGCTTTTGAAACCACAGGAAAAGGAGAGCTAGCCTTTGCAGGGGAGAGGAGTGACAGCACCTACCTCATAAGACAACTGCTGATACATTCACAAACTTACCCCAAGGCTGGGTCAACCCCACTGTGTTAACAGTTACAAACTTTTCCAGATATTCTGCTGACATATGCTCTAGAGATAAGAACCTCTCAGGTCATTCAGAAGAGCTATTTGTGCAATCTGCCCTCCCTTCTCTCAGAGAGAACCTGCCAGACTTTGGGCGTCCATTCAGACTCCACCTCTGCTGAGAATGAGGAAGGTAAATTTACCTTAAATGTCACAGCTCGGTTATATTCAGTATGAAATGCACCATCCCTGTCAAATGAAGAGAAAAAGGTGTTAACTTCAAGAATGGTTGTGAAGATACATACCTTTGGGTGCCTGCAGCATCTTAATAAGATTTAGCTTCTGAACACAGTTCAGGATTTTTTTTTTAAAAGAAATAATTGTAAACACAAGAAAAAATTATTCTGAAATAAAATTAATCTAACTAAAAATCACTGTTCACGGAGAATATCAATGAAAGCTTTCAGCACTTACTTGGAAATTGGAAATGCCCATGTGTACTTACTGGTAATGGAATAATTCGACCTTTTTGTCTTTCAGGCTCAGGTCAACTTTCATCTTCTTGCACAATTTTCTGCTCTCTGAATCACTGAAAGACACAAATGTCGGCAATCATTTGTTACCTGAAATCCTCACAAAGGTGTTGACAGCAAAATCTGCTGTTGTTCTAAGAACTAAGCCAAGTAACTTGGAACTCTCTTAACATCCCCAGGCTCTGAGATTTGGAGAAAGGAGAATAACCAACAGGATAAGGGCTGATGGAGAGAGGCAGGGACCAGCAGACAGGAGAGGACATTATCACGACTTCTAAGTGACGACACAGACAGGTCCAAAGGAAGTGCTCAGAAGCTTAGGAGGTAGACGGCCCATCATAAAAAGAAGAACAAGCTCCAATCCTGGCTGACCTTTAAACTTACCTGGGGAAATATTAAAAATACTGATTCCCTGGTCCTCCCCAGATCATTAATTCAGAATTCCTCTAGGGATGGGGCCAAGCAAGATTCCCGTTTTTAAAGCTTTAGTGTATGCCATCTGCTGTACTCCATCTGAGCTAGGCAACTGGAAGATGTACTACTGTGTTGAGGAAGTTATGAATCTGATCAGGTATTGACAAAAGCCACAAGGAGGAAGGGGAAAGCTTGGGCTAAAGGTGTCCCTCCCTTACATCTAAGATGTAACCCTCTTGCAGTCCTTCCAACAAGAAATGTTCCCCAGGTGCCAGTCACCATGTACAAAGCACTCATCACAAGATCTCTAACTCCAGCATCCTTCTTCTTAGACCCTGGGTCTCAAAGTGCCGTCCCTGGACCAGCAGCATCAGCATCATCCAGGAAGCTGTTAGAAATGCATTCTCAGCCCCACTCCAGCCCTACTAAAGCAAAATCTCTGGGTCCTGAGCAATCACATTGAACAAGCCTTCCAGCTCATTCTGATATGTGCTCAAGTTTGGGGATCACTGTGCTAGACCAGTGTCCTGCACCAGCTCTTCTCCCTTCTAACTCCATGAGGTTTGGCCCTCAATGCCTGCACCAGCCCCTCAGAGACCTCACCTGCCCTTCCTCTCTGCACTCAGCCAGTCACCCCCACATGCACGGGCCCCTGCCTATTACTTCAGAGCCATCTCCCCAGATCAAACAGGACTCAGTGAAGGGATCTCAGCCACCCCACGTCCACCGGTCACCACTGACTACACAGCCAGCATTTCTAGTGGCTGTGGTTTAGCCAGGTATTACAGCCAACTGAGACAAGGCCCTTAATCTCCCACCTGCTCACACACCTCACCTCCATCTACAGCCACCAGTTTCACACAGCCGTGCACCTGCCCCAGAACACATGACTAATTAAACCATTCAGCTAAATGCTAAAAACAAACTCATCAATGGAACACACAGAACTGCAGGACTTCATTTTAGGTGTAAAGATGCAATCTGCAATTCCAGCAGCATGTCTCACTGGAGAGGTGTAAGATGTCCCATGAGGCGGGTGGATCCTCTGGAAGAGGGGGAGTGTCACTCTGCCCTGCCTCACCTGGACCCAGGGGTTTCCCTCTCTACTAGTCCCAGCCATCTAGCCATCTCTGCAGCCACTACAGCTTCTAGCCCAGGCCTGGCGGAAAGAGGGGACTCAAGAAATGCTTGATGAATCCAGAAAGGAAAGGCTGATGACATTGCAAAGGCTTCTCCCCAAAGGGGGCAAGGGCACTTTAAGATAGGGAGAGTCCAAAAAGAAAGCTGGTGATGGGGAGGAGAGACAGAGGGGCCCGTGGCACACTGCAGAAGGAAGCCCAAGGCATCTGGTCTCTAGGAACTTTGTTACCCTCTAGCCCCCTGGGGTGCCATACATGCTTCTCCATACACCAGCTATTACAGTTCAGGTCTTCCTGCCTGCCCAGCAGAGGCTCTGTGGTGAAGTGGCACTGGCAGGTGGTGGGTTTGTTTGAGAACAACTGTGAATCAGGTGCCCTTTCCCTGCCTGAGTTAATTCCCCATGAAAGAGGGCTCGACTCAGGGTGTTCACAGCCATCCGCTTGGCACTTTCCTTGTAGGGCTTTGTTCTGCTGTGCTCAACTGTCTGTGACCTCCTCCTGTCCATCCACCCAACCAACAACAAATAGCACCAGGGCAGGGACCAAGGCTCAGATGCCTGGACCATCCCTCATAGCCATTTGGGTGGTTGGCAGGAGTGCCCATGGGGCCTGCTCCCGCCTCTCACACTGTAGCACCACCCCTGGTGGCTCACAGTGCACAGAAGTCACTGGAGGGGGAAACCCCATGCCATGATGGCTCTCTTTTCCATCAAGCCTGGCCGGCAGCCTCTACCTATGACTTCCGCAACACAGAAAGAAGACTGGCAGAGCTCAGTTCATTCCAGCCCAATCCATGCCTGGTCCGGGGAATCATGCCATGGAACAGCCTTGCCACGACAGACTCAGGTTCCCTCAGGGCCCAGGCCACTCTTAAGAGAAAGCCTCCAAACCAACCAGCTGCCCAGTTGGCTGGTAGAGCTGGCAAGAGGCTCCCCGTCTGTTCCTCTGTGTGGCCTCGGAGGTCATCCCTGCCAATAGCCTGCCACCCTCATACCAGTTAAGCAACTGCCTATCTCTGCCACAGAACTCCTTGTTGCAGACTATGGAACCTTCCTCCTTAGGTTAAGCGACAGTCCCAGGACATCTCTCCTCTCCCCTTCCCCATACACACCTCTCTTTTTCTGCCTGTGTGAGGATGCTTCTAGCACAGACCTGAGAGCCCTTGGCCACAAAACTCCTAACCTCCCATCCCTGATGTCTTCCTCTGATTGACATCCTTCCAGCTCATCCCCTGACTGCCCCATCAAAATAGAGGTGAGCTATTTCTCCAGGGTTACAACAGCAGCTGGCACATGGTAGGCGTTCTCTAGATAACCTGAGTGAATGAGTGAATGATGCTGTCCTGTTGTTGCTGGGATGAGGCTTTGCATTTCTGCCTTTCCTCTCTGTGTGTGGAGCTCCAGGAATGTACCCAGTGATAATTCCTGACCGTGTTCTCTCAGCTCTGCTCCCCAGCCTCCTACAATTCTGTCTCTCGTAAGGTATATATGTATGTGTGCGTGTGTGTGCAAGCATGTAGGTATACAAATTGTGCAGTACAGACAATGAAAGTCAGAAGGTTCAAGAAGGGAAGAAAATTATCCAGGCTCAGGAACTCAAAAGGATCTGGGCTGACAGATTAAGTACAATTAATTGATCTACTGCCTGCCTTCCTGTCCCAGCCAGTGACTGAGGCTCTAGGGAAAAAAAAGAGACACAGGCAGTGAGCAGGGGGAAAAGATGCTTTGCTTAGATAAGAATATCACCATGGCTCACGGACAGTGGGCCCGGCAGTGTACAGGCCCTCCTGGCCCTCACGCCACAGGAGCTAGCCATCCCTCTACCCACTCACCTACTGGTCCAGGAAGTGAGACCAAGGCCACTGGTCTGCTACATCCCATCCCTCCCCACGAGCGTGGTCTCCTCCATGAAGAACATGGAAGGAGCGACCACAGAGGCCAATACATTCTTCTCTCGCTGCCCCACGCCCCACACCCAGACACACAGGCCTGACTGTTCTCTTCTGGATGTAGCCTGGAGTGGCTGCTGCAGGTACATGGTGCTGTGTCCCTTAGATCTTTGTGTACAGTAATAATTGTCCAAGAGGCTGATGACTTATACTTCTGGGAGTCAGACCCAAGGATCAGGGTGAGGGTGAGAGTAGGAAGAAAGAGAAGAAACATGGTGGTGGAAGGGTGTCTAGGGTCTTCACAAGGGGGTGTCTAGGGTCTTCACAAGTCCAGCCTAAGTACTAAACCTTCCTGAGAGGAAAGCTCCCCGCTCAGCTGGAACGACAGCTTCCACATCTGGCTCTACCATCAGCCAGTCTGCGACCTCTGGAGCGACCCTTGACTTCTTGAGCTACAAAATGCAGGAGCTGTCTGCACATGCTGAATGGAGCTTCTGATTCCTCTACAGGGTCAATAACATCAAAGCATCAAGACAGTCTGCCTTGATATCCTGATACCCAAACCAGGAACCAAACTCAGGATATAAGATGGAGATTAAAAAAAAAAAAATCTGAATCCCCATCATCTCTCCACTCCCAACTCAATCCTCACTCAATTGGCCAGCATTCTTATGTCCACAGAAAACCATATTCAGCTTTCCCCCGGTGACTACACCGAAAACCAGGAGGCAAGGCCGCTACCTGTCTGGGCCCTTAACATTGTGCCCATGGCTACCCCAGTCTCTGAGGGTTGCCTTTTCCCACCAAAGGGATAAATCTGTTCCTGCCATCTGCTGCATCTAACATGGTGGAATACTGAGCAGACGGGCCTGTGATCCCCTGGGGATGGGTAGGAGAAGAAAGGAGGGAAGTGTCTTCACTGCACAGACGTGAAGAAAATGGGGGCTGAGCAGTGAGCAAGATATACTCAGTGAAACCCAAGGACAATGTGGAAGAATGTGGCTGGAGGGCACAATTAGAGACCAGTTCTGGAAGAGTTGAACCATAGACTTGGACAGGCCTGGGTGGCCACATAACATCCTCTAATGAAGGGACTCCCTACACCAGGGACCCTCCCAGTGTGGCCATTCTCCTTGATACCTACCTCAAGAAGGCACATAATAAGGTCTGAACGATGTAGTGCAGTGGATGAGAGTAAAGGGAGTAAGAGAGAAAAGGATATGGCTTCTCCTACACAGACGTGCACGGTACCTCCTCTCCACTGCCTTCCCAGCCCCCAGTTCTAAGGCTCCGCTCCTTACAGGGACATATCCCCCCAGCAAGTACATGGCAACATGCCAGAAGGTATCTGAAGCCGGATATACACAGCACTAATTCTGGGTGTTGATTTATCCCAAGGTAAGTAATGTTGAACATGCTTATATATAAAGGAACAAATGCAAATTTTTAGAGAAAAATACAAGACTTTGAAATATGTTAGGCCTGCCCTGGCAGGCCCCCAATCTTGCATCTGGGAAGCCATCACTGCACGAGAAAAATCAAGCAGATGGGAGGAGAAGAGCAGGGAAGAACACAAATGTGGTGAGGCAATGACCTTAAACCTCAGGAAAAGAAACCAGAGAGAACCCGATAG